ATTAACTTATCTTGTTGTCATCTCATAATTGATGATCAAGGTATGAATTGGTGAACAAAGGAATTGTTTTGTTGTGAGTTGAGCATCAAATTAGACTTGAAATAAGCTTGATTTTTGAACTAATAAAAACACTTGCTATCATGAAGCATTGTTATCACATGTAGAATGTGCGCTTTTGTAGATTTCATACCATAAATTGAATAGGAAAAAAGAAGTCCCAGTATACTGGGGTTTTTAAACACCAGAAAACTGGGGTGTACCCTGAAAACGGGGAATACCCCACTTTTCCTGACTTGAGCCCAACCTGTTTAATTTTGAACTACATTGTTGTAATTACTGAGCAAAATGATTATTTTTAGGATTCAGGGGAAAATATTGCAAAGTGGCAAATGATTACATAAAAGGCAATAGTTTTTTGTTAGAACTTCTTTGAATACTGTTTGTTTATGATCATGAGTTTGACTTTGAGCCCTTGGAACATGTGGAAGATGGTGATTTTCAAAGAGATTAATCTAGCAACTTATTTGTTTTCTGTAAAAGTTGTTAACCAAACGTTGCTCTATGACTCAAATGCACTTTTCAATGTTTTTGTTACCTGTCAACCTATGAAAATGCAGGTCATTATATATAATTACCTGCATTGAAGAAGAAAATCTCAGGTCATAACCATACAAACTTTTTTTCAGCTGAATTTAAGTATTTAGGGGACATTTTTTTATATTTCAAATTGAACAGTTTCCCAAACATGTTCCTAAGTATTAATAATAACTGAAAACAATTTAAAACTTTAATTTTGTATTTTCATTACATTTATAAGCCATTGAAATATTTTTAAAATGTATTATACTTTATCAATTCAAGCCAAGTCATACCCCCTCTTCTTGTTTCATTCATAGTTTTTAATAAATTCACATTCCATACATGTATGTATCACAGTATGCATCAATATGTACAGCTTTATTTATTTCTCCATGGAGGTAGTTGATATTAAAATATAATAAAAAATTTAAGCATTTAACAGTCATGACAGAGAGAGAAATTTTTAAAATATTAATTTTTTAATTGTTCTAAGGTAGAAAATTATAGAAAGTAATCATGTCCAAGAATTCGTTCGGTCTTTAATGCGCATGAGCTAGTATTTGTCCATACTAAGACAGCGATTACTTTTACTATAGATTTAAATGGGAAAATAGTTTTTATATGCCCGGTTACGGGACGTATTATGGTATACCGTTGTCTGTCCGTCGTCAACATGTTGGACATTAACTCAAAAATGCTTTAACTAATTTGCATAAAACTTTGGTGAATTGTTTATATCTATTGATGTGAGCTCCCTTTCGTTTTTTATAAAATTTAGATTTTACATTTCCGAGTTATGGGGTTTTATTCTTTAAAAAAAGGGGGATTTTCCAGTTTTCGGATAATAAGTCAAGAATGCTTTCACCAACTTGCAAGAAATTGTGGTGAATTGTTTATATCTATTGACATGAGCTCCCTTTTGATTTTTATAAATTTTAGATTTTACGTTTCCGAGTTACAGTGTTTTATTCATAAAAAAAGGGGGGATCTTCCAGTTTTCAGACAAAAACTCAAAAATGATGTCAGTAATTCTTATGAAACCTTGGTGAATTGTTTATATGTATTGATGTAAGCTCCCTTTAGAATTTTATAAATTTTACATTTTTCATTTCTGAGTTATGGGGTTTTATTCATTGAAAAAAGGGGTGATTTTCCAGTTTTCAGACAATAACTCAAAAATGCTGTCACCAATTCTCATGAAACTTTGATGAACTGTTTATATCTATTGATGTAAGCTCCCTTTTTATTTTCATAAATTTCTAATATGACATCGAGAATTAATTGAACTTTATTTGTTTATAGTCTGACAACAGATTTACTAAGTATTGCACAACAGCAAGAAATCTTAAATTGAATATAAATTCAATTCATATAACCAATTTCAAGTTCTTTGACTACATTTATTCAGAAACCTATAATATGTCAAATATTTAATTACAATCCAAATTCAGACCCGAATCAAGCTTGAATATTGTGTCCATTTTTGCCCCAACTGTTCAGGGTTGGACCTCTGCGGGCGTATCTAGCTGCGCTCAGCGAAGCAGTTTATTATCCCTGTCTTACTTTATATTAACTTTTGAATTTCTTCTTTGCGTTGTTGAATAAAGTTTATTAAAGGTTTCAACTGTTTAATGATGTAAATTTTATGAAAATAAGATATTTTAAACGTCGGTCACTTTTGATTCAAAATTTGCTACCGTAAATGGGCAGAGTCAAAATAAATGGTCCAGATTTAAAAATTTTGACCAAATTCCAACTTCGTTTTAGTGCCTTTTCTTTTGTTGCATCTTGATACATATAGACATGTACATCTAAGTTAATAAATCCAGAAGGACGTAAAAAAAAATAAAGAAATAAAAATTTTCTGGAACTTTATTGACATAGACCAACAAACAAAATTTAAATCAAGTATACAATTTTTTAAATATAATTTGAGAAATTGAGACAAACACTATCAAATATTTATATTTTTTTCACCTCAATTGATTGGGCCTAAATTAAAATATTGTTTGCAGGCCATTCATTAGGAGGCGGTACCCGGTACTTTTACCCTCCTATGCTACAGATAAGTACCGCCTGAATTCAGAAATTTTTATATAAGATGTTCATTGAATATATAGAAAAGTACCACCTTCAAATAGGAATGTACCGGTCAACATGAAAGATAATGAAACCCCTGTGTTTGTTTGCCCTTTTCCGACCCTATTTTTTGAAACAGGGTAGGTAGGTAACATATTTTATTTTTCTTTGCCAAAAAATAACTTGGCACAGTAGATTTTTTGTCATGGGTAGGCAGGTAGGTAAAATATTTTATTTTATTTTATAGATACGAAATCTGCATGATATCATTTTTGTCTGTTCTGCTTTTGTTTATGTATGCTTTTTCATTCCCTATTGTTAATTTTCCTTTTTTAGACGGCGATGCCCTTTGGCTCCATCATACGGTGTTTATATATCCCAACTCGTTCGTTATGCACGTGTGTGTAGTGATGTCATAGATTTTAACGAACGTAATCAATGCATCACTGGTAAATTATTAAATCAGAAATTTGTTACCATAAATTTTACATAAAACTTTTGCTAAGTTCTTTCATAGATACAAAGATTTGATTAGTAAATTTGGCTGTACATGTAGAAAACTGATTAAAAACGGTATTTCACATCCTAAATTTTACGGTAATATTGTACTTAAAGCGCGGAAATCACTATGTGATCTGTGTAAACTCATCGAACCTTTAAACAAACTTATTAGTAAAGGTTATCTTACCAATGTTGTAATTAGATCTTTGAATATAGTTTACATTGGCACTAATATCGATTTTGTCATCAGCAAATTAAAACATAACTAAATTTGTATTCTTTTCAAACGGGATGTATAAAGACACACCCACGTTCGTTTTGATCTATAAAGAGGTTAAACTAACTATCCTACTGCCTGTCGATACATTTATTTTTGGCATTGCACTAGTCATGTCTTCTTTGACTGTCCATGATGTTAAAATACTAAATCCCTGGGATGTGTTTTAGTTGATTTTAGTCTCTGATGCATGATTTTTTATTATTAATTGTTTTGGCTTTTAACTAGCTGTCAGTAACTGCGAGTACTCTCAAATCGTACTTTCTTGTTTATTTGACCTGTTGATATTAATTGTATTGCTTTTTTGTTATTTAATGTTATTCAGGGTTATATCTGGTCTATATACCAGCTTTTATAAGTGTTTGGTATTACTATAAATTTTCACTTCGTACTATGAACATCAAAATTATTTATTTTGTAAAAATATTTCCTTTCTCTATTGGAACTGTACACGTATACCTAACAACAAAATTATTTTCATTTACCTGTGTTTAAAGTTATTGCAAACGGCTGATATTTTTGTTCGAGCAGATTGTTTTTCTTTAATTGTTTAACATTTCATACCGATATAACATGTTACTTTTATTATTCTTCCCTTAGTTTATTTATTTTGTATTTACATTGTATCATAGGTCAAATTTATTTGTTCAGTGTATGTTCAATGGTGTTACTATATCCTTTGATTGAGTTAAGCTATTTCAGTTGATATTTTATAGTGTGTCTTTCTATGTTGTGATGTTACACTATTGTTTCAGAAAAAGGGTGAAGGTTTGGTACCATTAAAACGTTTAAACCCGCTGCATTTGTTTGCACCTGTCCTAAGTCAGGAATCTGATGTTCAGTAGTTGTCGTTTGTTGATGTGGTTCATAAGTGTTTCTCGTTTTTTATATAGATTAGACCGTTGGTTTTCCCGTTTGAATGGTTTTACACTAGTAATTATGGGGGCCCTTTATAGCTTACTGTTAGGTGTGAGCCAAGGCTCCGTGTTGAAGACCGTACTGTGACCTATAATGGTTTACTTTTATAAATTTTGACTTGGATGGAGAGTTGTCTCATTGGCACTCATACCACATCTTCTTATATCTATTTGTTTGTTTTTTCTTTAAAATATATTCAGATCCTTTCATATGCATCATCTGCAATTAACTTTAAAGTATGCACATATACCTACACGGCTTAAATGCACACTGTAGCAAATGCAACGTATGTTCCTAAACAAGTCACTGTAGAACGTTAGTTAGTTTATAAAATATTTGCATGTTGGGAGTCACAGTGCAATATAGCACAATGGATCAATAAACAGTCTCTCTTAGCACATAGAAACTGGGGGTTCCAACTTGTAATGCAGACCAAACAGATGGCTTGAAGAATCATTCCACCATTTTCTACATTAGAAAATGCCTGTACCAAGTCAGGAGTATGACAGTTGTTGTCGATTCGTTTGATGTGTTTGTGCTTTTGATTTTGCCATTTGATTAGGGACTTTCCGTTTTGAATTTTCCTTGGAGTTCAGTATTTTTGTGATTTAACTTTTTTCTGCTCTTGATTGAAGTAAAAGAAAAGAGAAAGGCATTGCAAGATTCACTAATTTCAAATTCTTATATATATTTTAGATTTTATTAACTTATAGTGTTTATCATAATCTTCCTATTTTTTTGATAAACTGAAACAGTATACAGAATGCTTTTTCAATTCCTGTCAAAAATGAAAACAAGTATTAGATCATGAAGATATATCTGACGGTTGCATTTCTGTAAATACCGACAATGCAATTTCCCATTGGAACTTTTTTTACGGCTAAAACTGTACCATTTTTATACGACCGCAAAAAAATTTTTGTGGTCGTATATTGGTATGACGTTGGCGTCGTCGTCGTCGTCGTCGTCGTCGTCCGGCGTCGTCGTCCGAATACACATTAGTTTTCGCACTCTAACTTTAGTTTAAGTGTATGGATCTCAATGAAATTTTACTATAAGGTTCAATACGACAAAAGGAAGGTGGGGATTGATTTTGGGGGTTATGGTACTAACAGTTAAGGAATTAAGGGCCAAAAAGGGGCCAAAAATAAGCATTTTTGTAACTTCCAGACATAACTTGTGTGTAAGTATATGGATCTCTCTGACATTGTACCACAAGGTTCCATATCACAAAGGGAATGCTGGGATTGATTTTGGGGGTAATTGCCTCCAAATTTTAGGAATTAGGGGCCAAAAAGGGGCAAAATACAAGCATTTTTCTAGTTTCATGACAATAACTTGTGTGTAAGTGTATGGATCTCTCTGACATTGTATCACAAGGTTCCATATCACAAAGGGAATACTGGGATTGATTTTTGGGGGTAATTTCCTCCAAATTTTGGGAATTAGGGGCCAAAAAGGGGCAAAAAACAAGCATTTTTCTAGTTTCAGGACAATAACTTGTTTGTAAGTGTATGGATCTTTATGAAATTGTACTGCAAGGTTCCATATCACAAAGGGAAAGCTGGGTTGGAGTTTGGGGGTAATTGCCCCAAACGTTTAGGAATTAGGGGCCAAAAAGGGACAAAAAAACAAGCATTTTTCTAGTTTCCAGACAATAACTTGTGTTCAAGTGAATGGATCTCTCTAAAATTGTACTGCAAGGTACCATACCACAAAGGGAAAGCTGGGATTGAGTGTGGGGGCGATGAATCATAAGGGGGTTCAAAAAATTTGGGGGGGGGGGATTTTTTTTTCCTTTTTTTTCTTTAAAATTTTCCATTTTAAATTGGTTATTTCTGATTTATATATAAAAGCAAATAATAATGATATGGTTTGAATAGCATACATGTGAACCTCCCGACAGGTGTACAATAATCCTGTTTTCAGGAGGCTCCTCCTGACCTCCGTTTGAAGAGGAAAATTATAATCCCGTGTATGAAATTTTTCATGAATGAAAAATTTCTGCCCAACATATCATCTCAGGCATCTGGTGTAACTCACATTACCTGAAGTTATATTTTACCTGTTAATCAATTAACATGCATAATTATATGGCTTCACTTGTCAGCTTGGGTTTCAAACATACTGGTAATCAATGATTTTTTACCTCAGGCTAACTGCCGTTGTGTAACAAAAACTGTGTATTTATTGGGTTACTTCCCTTGATTTATCCTGTTTTAAGTTACTTTCCTTTTAATAATAAAATTTTTTAAAAGAATATAAATAAAATATAAATTGAACAAATAATCATAAAAGGATGGTAAATAAATGATTTTAAATGTCTTAGGACAAATAAAAAAATAATAATTTGAAAATTATTTGAGGATTCTATACTTCCTTTCAAGGCTTAAATTGAAATTTATATAATAACTATGACCCTGGATTTACAGTTAGAATGATTTTCTGAGTATGCAAACAAAAGCTATTTGCAGATAGTTAAACAAATGTTCTGGTTGCAATAAATGTTTTATAGAATATGAAGTAAAAAATTTAAAGAACATATTGAAAAAAAAAATGTTAGATTGAACATGTAAAATATAAAGATGGAGAAACTTTTTAAGTACAAGGGTACTATAAACATAATAAATTGGATGGAAAGTTGAAGAAAACACACTTTAAAAGACCATTTTTACAGCACACGGTTACATTTACGACAAAATTTATGTCGATTAAAAACCTCCTGATCTGAGTCCTAATCTCCTGACCAAAATTTCCCAATCTCCTGATCTGAGTTTCACAGTCCATCACATGTATGAATAGGTAAATTAAAAAATTATAAGTTCTTAGACCACTTTCATTCTGTGTCAGAAACCTATGCTGTGTCAAATATTTAATTACAATCCAAATTCAGTGCTGTATCAAGCTTGAATGTTGTGTCCATACTTGCCCCAACTGTTCAGGGTTTGACCTCTGCGGTCGTATCAAGCTGCGCCCCAGCGGAGCATTTTATTACTATGAGGTTTCGAAAAAAATTATATCCTAGAATGGAAAGTTCATATGCACTACTATTTTTTTCAAAGGTCAAAATATAGGGCTGAGCGGCATATTTTCAACGTTTATATGCCCCGAACTTCTAAGAGTTTAAACTTACACTAAAATTCTGTACGTAGTAACCTCTACCTTCAGGCTTGACTTACGGTTTTACACAGATTTCAATTTGACTGCTATGCATATGTATATTTACTGGTAACATTCCCAAGTTATGTCTCTATGAGATGAAACATAGAGATCATATCTGGGAACCAGTACGTAAACAAAATGAATTATCTATGAATATATATATATCTCCCCAAAAGAGTCATGGATCGTGAAACAGCTGTATTTTCAAAGTGCAACATATATAGCATGTTTTATTCACATACTAACAATTTTATCAGAATCTGAATTTAAATTACAAAATGTACCTGAGACATATCTGTGAAATCAAAAGAATCTCAGTATTTGACTAAAATAAAAGCCACTGCCAAGCAGTGCATTCCCCCCATCAACGTCTTGCAACAAGTTGGAAGAGCTTATTCTAAGCATTTGTCTTATATTTCTTTCAATCCATTGAGAGTGGGTTGATTCTAGAGTGTTTTAAGTTTTTCTGGTTGTGTTTCATATAAAAAAAATGCTACAAGACTTGAAACGTGTATTTTACATGGCATTTATAAATGGTCTGTATCGAAATGCTTGGCGATTTTACTGCCAATTAATCTCCACTTTATAGGCCTTTGGTTCATGTCAGATATAAATAATATGTCGAAGGCATCGTTGGTATACTATAGTCATCCTGATCTACGACTACGGATCACCAAAAAGCCACCCCTACACAGGCTACAACGTCTTCACAAATTATCTTTGTACAAACGTTGATAATTTTGTTTTGGACCAATATTTTCTTGAATGAACCCTGCTCTTCAAGTATAGAGACACACAGGGCAACGTTCGTCATGATTTTCAAACTTTCGGCATTGATTTCAAACCAATGCAAATGCAATTGATCATCTTTAGTCTTTAGTCTTTAGAAGTGTCAACTTGACACTATAATCTCTCTGTATTTTCGATCATTCTGGTAATTTTATGTCACTATTGTATAAAACTCATGAGTACATTTGTATTTATGATGTGGCACTGCAGAGAAAAATAAATAAATAATTAAATAATTAATTAAAAAAAAATAAAAAATAATTAATCCTTATAAAACCTTAACTATCTATTTTGTGAACCTTCCAGTATCTTTAATAAAGACCCCTAACAAATGTTGAATATCTTCTATGTGATGTTTGTAATTTTCATTTTCTGTTGTTGCTAATAATACTTCTGATTCAAGTGTTAGTTTTGATGTTATGAAGTAGAGTGCAGAGCGGAGTTTCTCTCTAGCCTCCTCATAATTTTCACAATACAGTAGATAATGGTCAACTATTTCTATTTGTCCACAGCTGCATTTGTCGATGAGTGCTGGGCATATCATTGATTTGTAAGAGTTTAAATTACAATATCCTGTTCTTAAACTGGTAGTTATCCGAAATATTTCAGTTGAAGGTTTGTCTTTTGGAATTGTATTTTTACATCGCGATGACCTTGAGGTCAATCCGATGTATTGCTATCGCCTAGATTTCCATTATGTAAATTAGTTTTGGGTTTGTAACCGATCTATAAACATGATAAATATGCGCACATAAACGAGTGCAAAATAACATTCCTTATCGTTTGATATAAATACATCTCTTCAATGAATACCGATAAAAATATTTTTGTTTACAACATAAATTAATAATATGAAAATGTTTTGTAGTTAGATATATATATATAAGTAAAAAATCATTGATAATATGAATGCACACGTACCGAAAAATTGTGTTAAAGCATGCGGAAGAATATCTCAAAGAACGTTTTGTGAAAATACCGTCAAGGACCGGTAACTCTGTAATTGTTTTTGCGGGAAAATATGAATGCCTACTCGTATCCAATCTTAGAAAAATCGAATTTTTACAGAAAAGTGTCCACCATGCACTTGCATTGCACTATTTTTAGAATAGTAGAAAAGAATGATATACAAATGGATTCAAATCATATATATATGTACCGTAACTGTTATTTTAATATAATATAAACAACAAATCAGTGTATACTGATTTGTATCACTACAATATAATAGTTATAACGGTGAAGTTGAATTTCCTGTCATTTATTCATCATCCACGCACGAACTTGTCTCAGAAAAAAATATATCTCTGTACATTAACCTCAGTTTCAGGTAAAGAGATATGTTGTTTTTTTCTGAGACAAGTGCTTTTGACCATCCTCAAGAACTTGTGGTCATCCGATGTTCAGTACTTCAGTACTTTGATTTACATTTTGTTGAAAGGAATAATATCTTCTTCCTTTATCACTGGTGTCCCATCGGTTTTGCCATTTTAACATTACACTGTCTTTTGCTCCTTTTTGTATATCTTGTTTTGTAAATATTGGAATGCTTTGTATTTTTTCTGCCTCCTGTGCTGATTTTTTAGCTAGTTGGTCTGCTAGTTCATTACCTTGTATATCAGCGTGTCCAGGGGTCCATTCAATGGAAACAATGATTCCTTCAGATTCTAGTGCCAATATACCGATTTTAATATCATGAATAGTTTTGCCGTAATTATCTGATTTCCAATTTAAGTTAAAATTCCAATTGCTGATTGGCTGTCTGAGAAAATTTTGATGGATTCAGTGTTTTTTTCTGTTGTTTGGAATTATAAGAAAATCTATTACCAGCTTGATAGCTACTAATTCCCCATAATAAAATAGATCCTCTATTGGAAACTGGCTGTGTTAACTCCACATGTTCTGTGCTGTTTGATATTAAAATATCTGCCCCAGCCCCGCATGGACCTGGGTTTCCTTTGCAGGAGCCATCAGTGAAAGCTAATGTTGTATTCTTTTTTAGTTGATGTATTTTTTCCAAAATAATAGTCTTTCCCTGAAATGCTTGTTCCTCTGATCTAGACTTTGAACTTCCAAGATTTTTCCAATACTCTGGTGGTGATTTTGAGGCTGCTAACCCTAGGAATTCAAATTGAGACTCTATACAATCAGAATCAATCTCTGTTGACCTCTTCATGTCTTCAGACTGTAATACCATTCTTCCAATTGGTGAGATTATTTTTTCAGGTTCATTTATATTTTTCCAATCTTCAAAAATTTGTTTAATAGGGATAGTGATTTTATATGATTTTATTTTTGCAATTTGTCTTATACCAGCTTCTTCTCTTTTGAGGTCCAGTGGAAGTATTCCTGCTACTACTTCTAAGGCTTCTATACTAGCTGTTGTTGGTTGGTTGAGACATAAGGCTAGTCCTTTTCTTTGAATAGCATTTAATTTATTTATATGCGTGTTGTTGTTGATTTGCCATACACTGCTAGCATATAACATTGTAGACAGCACTATACTTTGATATATTTGTATTAAAATTTTTGTAGATACCTTTGCTATTCCCTTGATGTTTCTGATTAAGGACTTTTGTGCTTTTTGCTCAACAGTGTCTATGTGTTTATTGAAATTACATTTTTCATCTAAAGTAAGGCCTAAAATTTTGGGGTTTGGATTGTATTTTAATTCCTTTCCTTGTAACATTATCTTGATGTCCTCCTTTGTCATACCATTTCTGGAAAATACACAAAATTCTGTTTTTTCTATACTGAGGTTTATTCTCCATTTTGTTGACCATTCATGGATAGAGTTAATATCTTTTTATAACTCCTTCACTAATTCATGTTTGTCTTTGCCTGTTTTCCAGATTGTCCCATCATCAGCAAATTTACATTTGTTAGAGGAAATTTTAGCAAAAATATCAATAATAAAGATGTTGAAAAGTAAGGGGGATATAACTGAGCCTTGTGGAAGCCCAATTTGAGTTTTAAACCATTGTCCCAGATGCTTGTTTATATTACATCTTGCTTCTCTGTCTTTTAAAGAATTCTCTATCCATTTCCAGATTTTACCTTTAATTCCATATCCATGTAGTTTTGTTAAAAGTCCTTCTCTCCAAACACTATCATAGGCTTTTTCTAGGTCAATCATTAATGCGATAGTACTTTCATCTTTATTAACTCCATTAAAGATGTTTTGAACAAATGATAATAAAGCATTGTCGGTGGAGCGGAAATGTCGAAAACCTTCTTGTTCTTTATCTAATATAAATTTTGACTCTACATAACCTTCTAACCTTGATGTTACTATTCTCTCCATTAGTTTACCTAGTATGCTTGTTAAGCTAATTGAATGATATGATGACGGATTATTGTAGTTTGATTTACCAATTTTTTTGATGAACTTGACATTTGCTTGTTTCCATGATTTTGGTAAGGAACCTTCATCCCATGATTTGTTCATTATATATAATAAAGTGCTATACAGATTATCATCTCCATTAATAAATAGTAATTATCAGGTCCTGGACAAGTTTCATTTTTTAGTCTGTAAACTGCACCAGCCAGCTCATCTTTTTCTATGGCAAAGTTGATATTAATATCATTGTCATCCTCTAAATGTTGTTCTTCATCCTCTGAGATTGAATGATATTTGTCCATTATTTCTTTATAAAATTCTGCATTAAAGGAAATGGGATTGAAGTGTTTTCCCTTGAAGAAAGTTGTTTCTAGTTCTTGACATTTTTCTTCTTCTTTAAATGTTACGTTTCCATTTCCATCAACAAATGGAAGTACCATGTTAATATTTTTCTTCTTTGTCATTTTTCTAAATACACTCCATTTGTCCTTGACATTAGATGCGTTTGAAAGCTTTTCTGCTAGATTGTTTCCCCATTCCTCTTGAGCCAAATCCTTCACTTTGTTGAAATTAATTTCTGCTTGTTTGAGATTTTCAAAATTATTCAGAGTATTTTTAACTTTGAATTTACGTTGTGTTTGATTAAGGCTTTTTTTACTATCTTTTACGGCGTCATCCCACCAAACCGGGTGCCTATGAGCAAA